ACTTACTTACTTACTTACTTACTTACTTACTTACTTACTTACTTACTCACAGACATATAGACATATAGACATACATACACATACATACAAATACATACGCGCACATACACATACATCCACATACATGCGCATACATGCACACACACATGCACATACATCCACATACATGCGCATACATGCACACACACATGCACATACATACACATACTTACACATACAAACACATACAAGCACACACATACAATTACATACAGTTACATACAATTATATACATACAACTACATACAATTACATAACTTCTGGAACATTACGTACCATTACATAACGAAACATTACATTACATTACATACCATAACATAACATAACATAACATTACATTACATTAAGACAGACAGGCAGGCAGACAGACAGAGACAGAGAGACAGAGAGACAGACAGAGAGAGACAGACAGACAGACAGCCAGCCAGGCAGCCAGCCAGACAGCCAGACAGCCAGACAGCCACACAGCCAGACAGCCAGCCAGCCAGCCAGGCAGGAGGGCAGGCAGGCAGACAGACAGAGACAGAGGCAGGAGGGCAGGCAGGCAGACAGACAGAGACAGACAGAGACAGACAGAGACAGACAGAGACAGACAGAGACAGACAGACAGAGACAGACAGACAGAGACAGACAGACAGAGACACACAGAGACACACAGAGACACAGAGACACAGAGAGACAGAGAGACAGAGAGACAGAGACAGAGACAGAGAGAGAGAGAGAGACAGAGACAGAGACAGAGACAGAGACAGACAGACAGCCAGACACGTCTTTGGCTCTAGAACTAAATAGCGGCACCCCAGGTGGAAAGGCCCAAAAAATATGCAACACACTGCAAATTCTAGTACCCAAGCAACTGCTTGGAAGGTGTTTTGTTTGGGGAGATCTTCTAGTAGAGGCACAAACACACACACACACACTTAGATATAGGCTCGTAGAGTGGGGTAAAAACTTGGGCAACAGTTCAACAAAGCAGGTACGCCAGACTGATCAGGTCTGGTTTCACCACCGACTGCAAGTGTCTTCGTTGGCAGGAAACTTTCAATGGTGCTCCTGCCCCCTGCAAATTGTCCATTTAAAATTCCGGCAAATAGGTCAAGTAAAGTAGATAGTCAATAGTTGGTGGTGTCAGAGGTCCTTAGGAACAGGACGCACACACACACACACACTCACATCCACACACAGACGTTTCCCGAAGCATCATGGACAGCTAACGTTATCTAGCCAAAACTTTTATAATCTTTCCATACCTTGCCTGCTGCAACCATCCGAGAGATGCCGTTTCCAGGCTTGCATCCATGCTGCCTTCAATCACTATTGTCGTGGCCCAAAAGGGGTGGGATGCGGTGCAGAGAGCAATTTGGCACACGTAAGGTCGGTTGGAACGATAATTCTTAGACGATAAAGCAGCAATGCACTTGTGTCGACTTGCCTCTTTGACTGGGATCTCAATGACAACAAGAGCGCACAAAACCAGGAACCATTCGCAGCTTTTTGAGCATGGACTTGGCCCACGTCAGTCCATTAGCATTAGCAGGTTCCAAAACCTTATTCCCACTTTACCTTGCGCAGGCAGGACATTGAAATGTGCGCAGAACAGTGCACAGCGAACCCGCAAAAACAACAGCCCAAAGCATCCGGCTCAACTAGAACTATTTTGTGTTCCTTGGCAAGTCTGTCAACGTATCTGCAAATTGATGTTCCTTGACATTGAATAGCAAGGTCGGGACTTCATCATCTCCATTCGAGATCTTGTCTACAATTGCGTCTGAGACTTTGCCTCTTGAAGTAAGCCCGTTCACAAGCACTCTCACCACAGATCGCCTTCTCCTGAGTCCATTCATTCTAGTGCAAACCTAGTGCATGACCACCCTTGAGCTTCCAGTGCTTGAGGACGAGATCGAGAAATCCACAGGAAAGTGGCTAACTGAGAGTGACCAATCGACACCATGCCAGAGCAGATCAAGGGCACCCAATTTGATCTTATCGAATCTGATACTGTCATCATGCCACATGGTCACACTGCGCACGTGATGCATCGTGGATGCTCTGCATATCCCTTGAAACTCTTCCCAATGGTGCACTCTATCACCAAGGCCTTTTTGGACTGGTACCAAACGTCGTCCCATGGAGGTGGGGTCTTGCGTATCCAAAACGCTCAGCCATGTTGGGTCTCGACAATTCACTACTACGAAGAACGTTTGTGGCTCTTGATTTGCTCAGCTCTTTGTCAAACGATTGGTATGCTAGACTGTGGACGCCGCATCGGAGGCAAAGTGGGAGTCCGAGAACCCTCCTGCAGAAGCAATGGAGTACCCAAGGGATCACTGGGCTCCCTGCATTTTGTGTTTGTTTGTTTTTCTTAAGGGCCCGGGGGCAACTACCTAGTAGCTTCTTAGGCTTGGACGCAGAGGGGCTAAGGCTTCTTCAAGGAAACGCCCCATGCCTGAGGGCGAGGGGTAGCTTCCTTGAAGAAGCCTGTGAGCTTTAATGTTTTAGTTCCTAGACTTTTTTGGAAACTTGATATATTCATTGCCACCTTCCCAACATAGTACTTGAAATTGTAAGCTACTGGAATACTCTAGCAAGAAACATTGACAACTGAAGGTGGGAAGAAGGTCAAGAGTGCTGTCAAGCTAGTTCTTGCACTTCACATGTGTTGTTTTAATCCCGGGTAAATTAAATGTCTTGGTAAATGCATTTGCGAAGCGTCGGTCGATTACTGCGGCTGACAGGCCAAGGGCACTTAATGTACTGCGCATTGTCACCAAACACCTCGTTGGTTTGGCAAATGCAGTCGGGTTGCAAGTTCCCAGCGTTTTGTCAAGGTACCTTTATGCCACATCCAATTGCTATGCCTTCATGTGGAAGGCACTCTAATCTGCCAAGAGTGACAAGGATCAAGCCTTGCTGTTCCATGCAGAAGTTGCGAGGACTGACTACTGCAAGCATTGACCAAGGGACCAAAGGCATGACGCAGATGCATCGCCGTTGCGTAGGTTCCTTTTGTCCGGAATCGTGATGCCTTCCATCAAAGAGTGGTGCAGTTGAGACTCCAGGCTAGTGCTTGGGATCTGGGGATGCAGGGCAGACGCCTGATTGTGTGTTAGGCTGCCCCTGCAAGCAGACCGTTTTGTAGTGTTTCGTAACCTGGTGCCAGCGTTGATGGATACCACTAGACTAGGCTGGCCTACATAGATACATAGGTCTGAGAAAACAGACACAAAACAATATATATCCTGTACTCTGTACTCTTCCAATAGCTCTCGTTTCCAAAACAAAGAACATGTTGCGACCAGCAGTGGCAACCGCCTTTGAAGCAATTGAACGGAAGTAATCAACGCTAGGATGCGTGGTATTGTGCTAAAAAGTGCATCACTGCGGCAGCTGAGTACTTTTTGCCACCAAAGGAGGCCATGAACTACGTTCATCAGCACTAATTCTCGGCTGTGGAGCATTTGCAGGTGCCAGCCTGGTCAGCTCCCAGTTCCGGAAAAGTTGAAACTGAGGCAGGAAAGTGTCAAGAGTAGACGAGCGGAAGCGGACATCAAAGTTTGCACTCAGTGCTCTGCTTTGATGCAATTACCATTGCATCCAAAAAGTTCCAATAGATTGCAACGGCGTCTTTTGGACCAGAAGACTCAAAGCAATTTTCATTACTTTGACAATTCCCTGGGCTGTGTTCAGATGTGTTCAGAGTGTCTACTTTTTCCAGGAAGATGACGGTGAGAAAGTCGACCCAGCGGCCATTGAGGCCCTCAAGGCTTGCACGGATCGTGAGGAGGTGGATGCTCTCATCCAGTGCCCCAAACAGCATGTTGCAAAATGCTAAATAATAACAAATACTGTACAATGTTTGGATGATATGAGGCTACTTGTAATATAATTAGATACAATATAGAATAAGTGCTTAGGCTCTTAATTAGGTTATCAACAACATCTAGCGACCAAATTATCATTGAGTGTGTCCGATTGCCAGTCGTTTCTTGTTAGCTTAGTGGCTACTCCGTACTTGTTACCTACTGAAGCTACTTCTTGAGCAACTCACACGCTACCCGCTGTAAACATGATGTATAGACAGATAACAGATATATTTGCATCCCATAGAGTTTTCCTTTTCATTTGTTGAAGGGAACAGAGTAGGCCCTCAGGGGTTACATAGAGCGTGGTGGGTTGAGTCGCAGCTTTCGGAAAGTACATGCAATTGACGCATGCAAAGACCCATTGTCGAAGCAGAAAACCCTCCAATATTTCTGGCGCATATCAGTTTTCTGGATAACTATATAATATAATATATATATACACACTAGTTACTTAATAACCCAATAGCTGTGAGGTCTCTGAAATCTTGGCAGGCAGAGCTATATGCGGTGGATCCGAACAGTTTGGCAGAGTGTGAGGCAGACCAAGGGATGCAAGGGAAAATATGCACACAGTGACACAATTGGCATATATACTAAAACAGAGGGTCGATTTTGCTGACTTGGTTTCCTTCTCAAGGCTCACGACTTTGAGAAGGATGATGACACAAACTTCCACATTGATTTCCTGACAGTCCGGTGCCTGTTTGATCTAGCAAAGATATCGAAGATAATCCCTTGTCAATATACTCATGTGCACTGGAGGCCTCCACCAACTTGCGTGCCAGCAACTACGACATCAAGCACACGGAAAGGTCAACAGTGCGCAAATACAGCAAATCTGCTTGTGGCTGTGGCTCATTTTTGAAATGCAGCTGATGAGGTAAAGGTCACAGCTGGGCGCATCATCCCAGCACTAGTGCCCACCTCAAGCACCTGTGAATGAGCTGCACAAACACCAGGGTTTGGCGAGCCTTTTTCAAAGCTTCAGCAAACCACTGGAGCGCTACTAAGTATCAATGAAGTACCCAGCATGCCGACACTGAAACACGAAGCCACGAAATATCAGGTGCTACAAATCGACAGTAGACCATAGTAGACCATTTCTGATAGTGAGACCCCGTGAATGAAGAAACCGCCACTTTCAGGCAACGACTACTGCTATGATTTGTGGCTTGGTTGACGTGGAATTCCTGAAGTTGGTCCTTGGGACCGGTCTTCGATCGCTCGCTCGCTGATAGTTTTTGCTAGACAGGGTGGCGAACGAGGAACGATATCCTGAGCCACATTCAGTTTCTTCTTTTTCAGGTGTTTTTTGCTTGGTAGTTGGTTTCATCCTTGCCAGTATGCATGGACTACTGAGTACTGCGACCTTTGACGAAGGAATTGTTCGAATTGTGGCAAGTCTTTTGCTTCTTCCAAGCGCAGGATGCACAAGGAGGAGGGTGCCCTGGACAAGTTTTACAATGCTAACATCAATCTTGCCACTGGTCTCCAGGCACCTGACATTGTTTTGAACTGCACTAATCGCTCTCCGTACTTCTTGCGGTCCTGATTTAGGCAATGAATCTGTTCAGACCTGAGTGCAGTTCTCAGTTTTCGCAGAATGCTTGGGAGCATTGTGCAAAACCTCATCTTCAAACCTATAGATTTTCAAATGCATGGAAGACCTGAAAGTACACTCAGACAGATTTCGTGTACCAGGTAGCAGTAGGTCAGGTGGCATTTGTCTTGGTGTGCTTCATGCTTCCCTCAGCTGCATGATTGGGTGCAGTGCCGTGTTTTGTCCCCAGTGCTGACTTGGAGATGCAATGTGTTCCACTCAGGCCCGCAATAGTGCGGAAAACTAATCTGCGAGTGTGAACCCTGGGGACAGGATCCTTTCGATTTCTTGTGAGTCACTGTTTAGCTTGAGAGTGCTGTTCAGAGTGGGATTATCTCTGTTGGATATTTAGACTAAGCACTTTGCCTGCAGCTGTGTGAAGGTTCCATTTTAATTGCAAATCATCTAGAGACCGATCGCATCCAGAGTAGTCTTCCCAAGGGCTCTGTGGCGGAATTTACCTCATGGGACAAGGCATGCGTACCCAGCATGCAATTTCATGGCCTTTGCTCTGAAAAACATACAAATCAGGCTGAAGATTTTGCAGAACTAAGACTAGTGCCGCGAATGAGTGGATGTGGTTCTTAGATGTTGACATTGCATGAATATTGGCCAGGTTGAAATAGAGGGAGAAATTGCTTTGAAGGACAGCTTGGGAAGCGACGCTCAGATTCTCAGAGAGAGCATACATACTTTTTGGTGTCGGGTAAAACATGTAGAATTCGGCATGAAGAATGCTACTACTTGACTGAAAGGCTCGAATATTTGATAGGTGCGCCGATTGCGAATCGCACAATGAAGGCTGTCTTTACAAAGATCGATGGCTGATGGCAAGCCCCGCAACCCTAAAAGGGCTCCTTTGGGTTGGTTTGGTGGCAAATGGTTCCTGGTGAGAGACTATGCTCTCCTGGACTCATCTTCCATTGAGGCATTCAAGGCCTTTCTGGCTGGTGGAACAGCTGGAGTCGTGTCTAAGACAGCTGTAGCACCTGTTGAACGTGTGAAGCTACTGGCGCAAATTGAAGGCTTGCGAGCTTGTGACATGACGAGGCGAAGTATCACTCACATTGCTTGGGACATTTGGCACCTTGAAGGTTTGCAATCATTTTGGAAGGGAAATGGCCCTACAGTGCTTCGTGTCATCCCAAACAAAGGCATCCTCTTCATGTGTAATGACTACTTCGTTGCTCTTATGTCGCCTGCAACAAGGGAGACTTTGCTGGGGCGCTTCGTTGCAGGAAGCCTCTCTGGAGCAACTTCCGTGACTTTCACTTACCCTCTAGAGGTGATCCAGTCACGAATGGCCAGCGGGAAACACCACGGTGGGATTATTGATTGCCTGCGCAGTATATTGAGTACTGAAGGATTCAGAAGCTTCTACAAGGGCTACTCTGCAAGCCTTCTGGGAGTTCTACCGTATACAGGTGGCCAATTCTTTCTTTATGAGGGTGGGAAGCGCTGGCTTCAGCATGTCCAAGCCAAGACAGAATTAAGCATTTGGGAGAAATTTGTTGTTGGTGCTATTTCCGGAAAGTGTGCCCAAGCATTCTCATACCCAATGGACACAGTCCGGAGACGCTTGCAAGTTGGGACATTCTTCAGCCAAACCTACACAAGTCCGTGGGACTGTTGTAAAAGCATTTTCCGGAGCGAAGGTGTTGCTGGCTTCTACAGGGGAATGAGCTTGAATGCTTTAAGAGCCATGCCAAGTCAGGGCGTGCAATTCGCGGCCTATGAGGTGTTGAAAGACCTCTTAAGCATTAGAAGCTCAAAATCATCAAGCAGCCCGTCATGTCACTAGCTTCATATGTGAACCGCCTCCCGTGCACGAAGCTTTTGGCTCTCTTCCATGTGCTTGAGTGTTCTGCATCTACATCCTGCCAGTCAAGTCCGAGTCATGTATCAGACCACAGCGGTTGTGACATCCAGGTCTAGCGTTCCAGTATGAACAAGTCCGATCCTCACGCCAATGATGGGATGAGATGAGGGTCTGTGCTATCAGAAAGGGCATGATATCATCCCGCCCTTTCCGACATCATCCACCAGCCGACAATGAGAAGGGCTCCGATGGACCCCACTGCTTAATGAGCTGATAGACACCCTTGGACACCCACGGTGCAGGGTGAGAACAACCTCGAGATGTAGGCCTCAATGGCACTTCGTCAAGCGCACATTTGTTTTGATCATTGGCAATTCAAACAAAGTTTCGAAAAAGCTGGAGCGCATCAGACAAGATGTATTTATGGCCAACAATACACCCTGTCCCAACAGTAGGGTACCTGTCAAAGAAACACACTCAGATGTATGGAGCACATAAACATTAATAGGGTGGAGGCCATCGCTAGTAGGTTGGAGGCCATCACTTCTAGGGTGGAGGCCATTGCTATATATAGATTCCTTTTGCTTTTAGGTTGGAGGCCACCGCTAGTAGGTATATAAATGGACAAGAATTTGTGCCTCAGGAGTTGGTGAAAAAGCTGGAGTCCAAGCTGGGCGGTCAGCTCCAGCGTTTGCACCCCGTCGGGAATGACAAGGTGGGATTTTTTGAAAATAACACATTGAAAGGGAGAGTGAGATCAGATTGGATTATTTGACCTTTCAATGGGTGAACACTACACAGCAGCTATACCTAGAATTCCTAATGTTCTTGAGAAGCATTTTACACGTGTTTGCTCAAGATTACAGGCGGAACTAGATGGAATTCAAGAGACACGATCAAGACTCGGTCACGCCGCTTCCCGCTTCAGGTGTCCATCTATGATAGTTCACAGGCATCAGATGCGGCACGTTTCAGTCATTTCAGAATCAATAATTATGCCAGTTGTTTCACTTTGGCCCAAACACCTTTGCAAGGTCAAGATGCTTGACTGGAGGATTGATTTGCAGGATGGCCAGGCAGTTTTGGTTGACACAGCCTCAAAGGACTACAGTATCCTATAGAGCTGACTAAACCTTGTGCCTAGCCACCACTCCATGTTTTGCTTGTCCTTTGTTTTTTCGACGTGGCTGCGACATCAGCCCGCGTTGAGAACAGAATTGAGCCACATTTGTGCAAAGATACAGTACCTGAACCATTTACTAGTGTGCAGGCTGTCATCGAGCCGGACGAGGTCTACTCTACTTGGCCTCAACTGAAGATGGCTGTGGGCAGCTGATAAGCAAAAGCAAGGAGTGTTTATACTATAGTCAGTTCAAGACTGAACGAATGTCTCACTAGTGGACAAGCTGAAGCTGCCGTGCAGTCAGACCTGCTTGCTTCGTGGGTATTGTCGTTGTGCTGTCTCCTTTGTTGGCACTACTGGAGGGGGTAACTGCTGCCCACGTTGCAACTGATCCCGTGCAGCGCTGACTTGCGAGACGGTGAGATATATATATATATACACATATTATATGAATTATATATAATATATATATATGCCCCCCCGGTACCTAGGATTCTTGGATTCAGGCACAAACCGCTGCAATTTCCTCGCACTCCAGGATAGGACAAGGCCCGTGTGAGCCCCATATCATCGTCGTAGAGTTACGAGTTGTATTCCTGTTTACCTCATATGATGCTTGGCAATGTTATGTAGAAACCTCATCCCATAACATCAACAATGCAGCAAACTTGCAATGAATTGAAAACTATTGCCAACTACTTTCTCAAAATCAATTCCATGAAATCAGAGGAAATCACAAAAAATGCCTTGCAACGCATTAGATTAGAAGGGTGACCAAAGTTGACGCATCTACCACCCTTGGATTAGAAGAAAATGCAATGTCCTTCACATGAGCCTCGGCGCAAAATCGTGGTCTTGCATCATAAAGAGCAATAATTATATTGCTGTATCTTTAGTCCCAGTACGGCTGTTTGGCACAACTTTTTTCAGAGTCTACCCTTCTATACACATTCTTTAATGCCACGTTACCCGGGTGAAAACCATTTTTGGCACGGAGACCGGTTTGCAAGCAAAGGTAAGTGCAAACATGCGTCAAACCCATTTGTTTCATGCTTTAAGCCCAAATATAATTGTTTCTAAGAAAAACACCTGCTTGCATTCAAACCAAATCTGCTTCAATACTTTCAATACAATCCTTGGGAAGATGGAGTCTACTCCTCTATATAAACGACATGTTTTCACTTACAGGTTTACTCCTTTATGCAAACATGTTATTGTAGCAAAGCCTTCATCTTTGCAAACGGCTTCTTTTTGCAGAACAATGCTTTAAAGTAAGCCTTCATTTTTGCAAACGTATGTATGTATGTATGTTTGTTTTTAGACACATTTTTACTTTGTATGCGAGTATGCGAATATATATATATATACATTCTTTAATGCAACGTCACCCTGGTGAATGCGTTTGTGCCGAGACCGGTTTGCGTGCACAAGCAAATGCACACATGCGTCAGCCCCACAGTTTCTAATAACAACACCTGCTTACCTTCAAGGAAATTCGCTGTTCAAAACTTCTACAGTAATACAATTGTGAAGGAATTCATGTCTCTCAAAACGGTGCAGCTCAAGAAAAGCACCTGCTTGCCCCGCAGGAAGATCTGAAGATCTCTTTTCTCAATTTTTAATTCCATGCAAAACCAAAGGGTGTGTTTCACAGAACAGGCGCAGCTTTGAATTGGAATGCCTTAAGAGAAGCACCTACACCCAAATATAATCCAACGTTAATTGAATAGAAGCAGGTGCGAGGTAGTATGCGTGTAAATCGTGTGTCAAGCTGCAAGAATGCACCCACAGGCAGGAAGGTATTTTGCTTAGAAGTGGGCATGCAATTCTAGTGAAAAGACAGTTTCTACAGAAAAGAGGCACATACATTGAATTCCAACAAGATGGAAGCCATGAACCTGAATGCACACACCACAAGCGACCAAACCTTGTCTGACATTCTTGCTGTACTTACTTGACACTCGTCAAAGACACTCTTGACTGACATTCTGGGGTGACACTCTTCTAGGATTCTCTTGTAGGGCACATGGGCGACGCTTTTGCTTAAGACTCTTTTGTGACACTCTTAAAGGGCACTCTTGTCGCACAATCTTGTAGGAAACACTTGCAGGGCACTCTGGTGGGGCACTATTGCAGGACACTGTACCCTCTTGTGGGACACTCTTGTTGGACACTCTTGCGCCTTGCGCGACACTCTTGTGGGACACTCTTGTGGTGGTAGAGTCTCTGATAGGACACTCTTGTAGTTGGCACTGCTTTGCGACGCTCTTGTAGGACAGGTTTGTGCGGCGCTTGTGCTTGACACGCTTTTGCGACACCCTTGTCAGACACTCCTGTTGCGCGATCTCGTTGGACCATTGGACCCTGTAAGACATGTAATTTTGCCGCACCATGTGCAGTGACCAAGCAAACAAACTAGCCTTTCGACAGAGGTAGATTTTGCCAAAGTGGCTCCAGTGAAAAAGGTGCCCCGTACATGCCAAGACAGAATATGCAGGCAGCCAATTGCAACACCTGGACCATTACACATTCTTGTCCATTTATCATGTCAGGGTGCGGGAATTTACTTTCCAAAGGACAAGTCCTTTCTTCACGCATTTGAAAGTTAAGGCGGCGAAGTGGTGAAGTTGCTGATTTGTAAGCTTGTTACATACGTAGTGAAGCAAGGCTCCTCCAGCATGTTTTTCTCGGTTTTTGTTGGCTTCTTATCTGTCTCTGGCGTTCCCCCCGCTTTACCTTGGTTGCCATGAACAACGTGGTGTATCATAAATTGTAAAGTCTCTTTGACACCACACTATGGTTATGCACTCTATGCACTCTATGAACATACTCGTAGTTTCTCGCCTCTCACCCACGCATTTACTTGGCCTCTAATCTGACAGAATGAGATCCGAAGCTAGACCAGAAACCCACCTTCCCTGGACAGTTCAACAACATGCACTTTCCCAAGTGACAGCTCCAAGAAGGGGCAAAGCACCGACTTGGCATTTTCGTTGTCCAATGGTCCTGCCTCCTGCTTTCTATGGCCAAGGTTCAAATGTTGGGTAAGCTTCCTGATGGCCCTGCACGGAAGAACTTCGAGAATCAGGCCGTTTCCAGCAAAGTATTTGCAAACACAAAGGTTTTAGTTTTTATTCGCAAATCTCCAACCGACAGGTTCTCTCTGCAGCAAAGTCACTACAGGCAGGGCAAAAAGTCGGGGATTCGGGTGTACTTGCAAGGTTCATGGTGTTCATGAGGTGCTTTAACTCAGTTTAACTCTATTATTAGGGTTTCTAGCTAGGTTAAAAGCATTCCAGACTGGAATTGGTACTTGTAAATAGCTGCAACTTGTTGTTCTGCTGGATGATTTACTTTGTAGCACATGCTAGAGCCAAGAGATAGTGTGCCAGGGGGTGAAGGACAACTTTGCAAGTCATTGCAACAGCAAGTGCAGCGAGGCCAGACCTGAGGTAAGTGCTCTCAACTGCAAAGTTGGGAGATCAGTCTGAATGGATTTCATCAACTCTTGACTCTTGACTCTTGATGGATTAACTTCACGCACGGCTGCGCCCGTTTTGACCTTTGCTCCGATTTGCTCCCATTCTGAACTGACAGGCTTACATCAAAGTACTGAGGCCTTCAGATGTGGGAGCCTCAGTTGGTGCTCAAGCAGGATTGAGTCGACAAACCCTAGGAATGTTGCTTTAGGAAGAAGCAGAGAAGCAGAAGTATTTTGACGCCGTGCTTGAGAGAAGGTGGGACATCAGAATTGAAGTTGCATTTGTTTATTTTTGTTGGGCATTGTTGCTTGTTGCAAAACCAATGTGTGTGATTTGGAACAGCATTCAGGAATTACCTACCTTTGCAGGCTCTTTGGGCGTTGATTCTTGCTTGCTTGCTTACTTGCTTTGCCTTGCTGTGCTGACCTAGTGAGGAAAGAGCACAGCGGTTTTTGAATTTCAACAGCTTTATTCAGAATCTGAAGACTGGCAGGCTGACATGCTGACAGAGGAGGGCGAGGCATAGTCTCACCTTTGTGTCGAGTCAAATCGAAGTAACTGAAACAGGTCGGTCGTGCTTGAAGGTCTCGGGCCAACAAGTATCGTTACCCTATTAGGTTGGAGGCCATTGTTACTAGGTTGGAGGCCATCGCTAGTAGAAACAAACAGAAAAGGAAAGGAAGAAAGGTCTAATATAGTTATATAATAGTCTAACCCTTTTGCCTAATTATGTAACTCTGCTAATGATTCCGTGATTTCCGTGGCTGACTTTAATGTACCTTTTTTGGAGGATGCCGACCTCCCCCTCATCAAGTACACTTTCCGCTGAAGCCTACGTTTGCATGTACGTGTGAGATCAAGTAGGTACACAGCACAGTCTTTGCATAAAACATCATTGTACAACAGTCATGGCTGACGATGCAACATATTTATACATACTTGGTGAACATTCTTGCAATGCTTTAAACTTACGTATGATTGAGTATATTTGATGCTCTGATGCAGCTGCGATTTTGCTGAACAATTACGAGTACGATTGTCTCTTGTAGCCTGATGGATATGAGAGGACACATGTAGAACGCGACGCACGATGTTACTCTCAACTGGTCACAACTTCTCAGAATGGCGTGTACAGTGACTTGACTGCAAGTTGGGTCCTGCCCTATGTGAAGTAAAAGGACCAGAATCGCTGGGGGTACGTGCTTTCTGGTTCCCCTTCAGAGTCAGGATTCGGTTGTGCATGTGCTGTGAGCCACACATGAAAGATTATCCAAGATGAAGGTATTCCACAGGGATTTGAAGACTTCATGTCGAGGACGATTGATCTTGTAGTCTTGTGTCCCATTCAGAAAGCCCGCCAAAGTAGCATTCAGGGTTCTTTGTTTATTTCGTCTAACAAGGGAGATGTTTCCGATTTTCCTTTTCACAGGAGATTTTTTTCATTCTTCTCTTCAGGATGCCGCTAGCCGCTAGCTGACTTAACTGGTTTGTTTGAAAGGAGGCTATTGTTCATGCTATCGGGCTCAAACCCATGCAAACACGCCTTTCAAGGCGGAACAGTCAGCATGATCCAGTGTAACACGGCTCAAAACAGCACAGCACAAGATTCCACTTGCAGATCCAAAGGCATGGATCAACTCAACGCTTAGACTGTCTTAGACCCATGCCCAAAAGGAAAGCGGGTGATCCGGAGGCGCAAAACTACTTAAACGGGAAAGCATTTCGCAGTTTATCAAACAAGTTACTGCCCTATGACAATCTCAAAGTTGAGCCGTTCTTTTGATCTCCAGCATTGTCATATTTTGCACCAACATACGTTGAAGGGAGTAGTGTTGCGCAGGAGGCGCTGGAGTCCGCGCGCCTGGGACGAGACATTTGCTGAGAGGAACAAAAACAACATGATGCAGGTATTGAGCACAATTCTATCCACATTTGCATCTCTCAGACCTAAGATCTCTATGTGCCTATTGTATGATGTTTGAGGATTGTGGATAAAGTACAATCACGCGTTGGTTATGAAAGTTACAATTCCGATTCCGAGCATCCGTGTTCTTTTTTGCTGCCGAAACTACCCTCCTCAACTGCAAGCTCAGCGGCCTATGCCCAGGAAAAAGAAAGACAAGAAGGACAAGAAGGATTCGCTGATCAGATTACGGGGTGTAGAGAATGAAGAGATGCAGTTGTGGGTGGTGTTTGCATGACAACACCAGAAAACTATCGCAAGATTACGTTCGGTCCAACAACTGTTGCTGAATTGTTTTGAGGAAAAGGAGGAGAAGAAGGAAAAGAAGGAAAAGAAAGACAAGAAGGACAAGAAGGCCCCACTGATGCATGAGAGAATGCTTGTCACAGATGTGTTTTATTGGTTGGTGAATATTGCGCACTTTGTCCTGGAAGTTGCCCAACGCTCAACTGCATTGACAGCATGAAGCTGCTTTTTGTAACCATTTGATATCTAGAGCCCTGTGCTTGCTCGGCACTTGATCTGAGTAGCGGAAATCCCATCATTGCGACAGAGTTTGCATTCCATTCATTTTGATCCAATCTCCTTGTTGTTCAGCTTCCTCGTAGGACAAAAGAGCTGCGGCTGCGGCCAGTGCCTTTCTAGAAGAGGCAGCGGAAGCCAGACAAGGAATGACCAGGATTCTTTCTTGGAAATGTCGGCGTTTTTGGTTTCTCGTCCGATTGTTTGAATTAGTGTCCGGCCATGCAGCCAGGCTCCACCGACTCCAGTGGCTATACTGCAGCCGTCGCCATACAGGCAAGTCAATCTTTATCTATAGTGGCACATCCAGCCTGACATGTTGGCCTCTTGAAGTACTGAGTTTGAGCATTCGGGAATAGCTCCGCAGCACAAGGCTTTTATGTCGCTGTGCAAGCAACTTGGATTTGTGAAGAAGCACCATCGGGGTGTTCCAATGCCAGGATAGCTGAGGGCGAGGACGGAAAGGAAGAAGAGATTGCAGCGCCAGAGAAGAAAGATACCAAGAAGGAGACAAAGAGCGAAAGCAAGAAAGGCAAAGGAAACAAGCCAAAGTCCGCAAAAGAGCCCAGCAAGGGAGGCCAAAAGATAGAACAGAAGGGACAGAAGGCACCTGATATAGAAAAGGAAGGCTCGCTGGACCAAGACATGGTGGAAAGCAAAGCGCAAGAAGATGAGCAACACAAAGCTCATACCATTCAGGACAGTTCTTGGTGCAGTTCTTGGTGGGTTCTGAAGTGTTTCAATGACATGCAGATTCCATAGCTGCTGGACACAAGCAGGCGGCTGAAGATGCTGAGGATGAGGCCAATTTGCTGTGTTGAGAGTATATACGACTTGACTCAACAATCACTGTGACTCTTAAACACTAACTTTTTAGGTTGGAGGTCATCACTCTTAGGTTGGAAGATTCCAAGGGTGATTTTGCTTTCTTTACTAGTAGCTTCTTGTTACTAGTAGCGTCCTTGCTCCTAGTAGCGATGCCCTTTGTTACGTTCGTAGCTGTATATTTCTGTCAGTTTGATGCGGGAGTTCCCGCACCGCAGGATTTTTGGAAGGGCTTGAACGATGAGGGTGAGCAACCAATCAGTTCATTGGGAAGCAGTGGCAAGGCAGATGGTGCCGTCCCTGCCCTACCGTAGTGAAGCAGTTTTCAGATCATGTTGCTTCAATGACTCTGATTTGCTCTTCTTTGCCCAAACTACCTAAACGTGTCATGAGTTGTTGCAGTCGCAAGGTATTTGTGACCAAGGAGCCGGATGGCGATGCTGATCCATCCTTGAAGCAACAGGAGGCAAAACTTGTGTCCATTGTGACACTCTGTTAGACAATCTATTGATGGATGCAGGACACAACAAACTTATGGTGTCGCGAGCGAGCTAGTTTCCGTAAAGCCCAGTGATGCATCTCCAACAAGTGTGGGCAATCCTGCAAGCCCCAAGTTCAACATGTGACCGGAAGAATTGTTTGAGGCCGAAGAAGCCCGTACTGAAACAGACCCTGGCCCCGAGCGTGTTCTGCAGCTGAGCCGTGAGGACCAGAAGCCAGGGGATCAGAGAATGTCATCATTTGATTTTCACATATTCGATATGTCCCTTCGAAGGTGACAGGGTGAAGCGGTTGATAAAGTCTAGTGCAGTCCACTTGACTTGCAAGGAGCAACAAACTTTGATGACCAGCGGCCAGTTGCACTTGCAATTACTAAATCGCTGCTGCGAGGCAAAGGTCAAAATCCAGGCCCAGACAATCATGATGACGGATTTGTTTCAGCAGTTTGACAGCTGAGTGTAAGTGAACAGATTGAGCACTGCAAGGCAGCTGTTGGTCAGGTCCAACAAGCTTCTTATAGATACTTCAAAGGTGGATGAGGTTACAACCACCTGCCTTGAGTGGTATCCCATAGGTACCAGCGATTGGCGCTTCCAGCCAAAGAATCTTTTTCGAGAATCGGAAAAGGATAGGGGAGGACAAAGACTGATGAAAGGAGGTAATGCTGTAAAGCATTTCTTCCAAAGTAAAAGCACTGGATCGATGCATCGAGCCATTGGAACGCAATGTGCTTCAAGAAGGAGATAAGGGCCCTTTAAGGGGGCTGTTACGGGCTGTTATTAAGTAATAGCAATGGCCTCCAACCAAATAGCGATGGCCTCCTTTCCTTTTGCGAGTACTGAGCCGTGTGGCTCTTGGTCTTGGCTTCGCATTCATGAGGCTTGCACCGTATCCCAAAGCCACTTAGGCGGGGCACGTCAAAAGCTAGATTCTACCTTCAACCTCCGGCCAAAATGGCACTAGGAGGTGAAGAAAGGCCGCTACTGTACCGTTTTGAGCGGTCCAGCTGCCAGCCAACCGAGTTGCACGCCAGCTGCAAACCACAGGACGGGAGACAAGGCTGCATCAAGCCACCCACGCCGCATCCGGAGCAGCCATTCACGAACTCACCACGCTGAAGGGGCAAAGAGACGCGACAAGAGCGCTGGTACTCTGGCATCTCCCACAGGCGTACACAACCCAAGCCTTCGCATGGAACAACAGCAAGTTGGCGGCCACGTCTTTCCTTGCCACTATGCGGCGCGCATGCAAAGTGCAAAAAAGGGTTGCCACCTCACTTCCGGCTGTGGCCACCTCACATCCACCCCGACCTCCATCGAGGTACTCCAGCCTAATAGCGATGGCCTCCAACCTAATAGCGATGGTCTCCAACCTAATAGCTATGGCCCTAATAGCGATGGCGATGGCCTCTAACCTTATGCAAGGAACCCTTATTTCTTTTTTAATCTTAAAAGAACACTGTTTGAAGATCCTTAGACTTTTACTCTCATACTTGGCAGCAGTGACGTTGGGAGCCACAAGGCGTCGCCACCCAGCGGCCATTCCCACTGCATGCCTTCAGAGCCACCTTGATTTGTTCGTCCCTCTTTCCGGTTTCATCCACAGTCTCTTCCCGACCTGTGTTCCCAAGCTTTGCTGATTCTCGATTCTCGCACACTTTTCTGACTTCCGAGAGGCTTCTTCTGACCTTCCAAGATTCCACACTACTGTAATCATTGGTTTGCTTTTGCCTCATTGCTCTCAAGTCTTTAGGCTTGTGCTTCTGCATCTTCTTCTTCTTCTTCTTCTTCTTTGCAACCACTTAAAGAACTTCACCAAAAAGATTGTAAACGGTACACCTTTAAGTGACCATAGAGCCAATGCTGACCTGGATTTGTGATCCTCCAGGGCGAACAGCTGCATTTCACTGCTGAGCAACCCTATATGGCAAGGACAGCTGAACTGGCTGCCAGGCCACACTTGCCCAGGATTGAATCAAGCTTGAGTGTTCTGTCATTCTGTTGTGTACTCCCAATGTGAAGACCACAGTTTCATGCAGCTAGTTAGTTTGTGGTGAGGTGCCTCCTGGCGAGCAACCGTGATGAGCCCGTCGAGCTTCGGGTCGTGCCAGAGGTCAGGCTGGCTGTTATGCTAGCCAGCAGAATTTGGATTTCATCCACAGAGCGAGAGAGAGAGAGAGAGACAGACAGAGTACACACACACACATCACACTGATATAGGCGCGGCATAATAGCGGGAGATGGAATTTCAGCTGCGAGTAAGCAATCCACGTCTCTGTTTTCCTTCTCAGCATTTGTTTGGCTTTTCATCTTCGACAAGTTCACAACTCCTGGCACAGGCATCAGGTGCAGGTGTGGTGAATCTTCCAGGAGCCGGACTTTTGCAGGTTCCCTCCACTGGAGGTGTGGATCCGAAGGACTGGAGTTGGAAACTCTCCTGATTTGTGAACTCCCCTGGTGTTGGGCTCTATTTGAGAAACCCTAGCAATGGCCTCCAACTTAGCGTTGGGATTTAACGGACGACATCCTCATTGGCTTCTTGCCATGCCCCCAAAGCCTTGAACAAAGCAGACACATTCCTTGAGGTGAAGGAAGATTGTGAGGGATGGAGCAAGGCCGAGGCCTCTAAAGATGATTCAGGATAATTCAGTTTCCCTAAAAATCTAGGAACCAAATCAATAGTGCGAGCGTGAGCTATCCTGCGTCCAGTAGGTAGTAGCTTCCTATTGCTAGTAGCTTATTTCTCCCTTACTTGATTAAGTAGGCGCCTACTTGATTAAGTAGGAGGTCGGCAACAAAAAGGTTCCTTTTTGCAGCCGTTGCCTTTGTTTGTGCAACTCCCGAGCCGCACGTCTGAGCCGTTGACTGATCGGAGGGTGTGACGACCGTAGGAGCTGCGGCGTTTTGGTGACGTGGTGGCAGCCTTCGTGCTGCCCAAGGATCTTTAGTGTGACAGAATGCATCGAACAATACTCTATCTGTGCGTTGTGGAGTGCCTTTGAGTGCCTTCCAGCATCTTCCAGTCAAATCCTCATGTTAAGTTTATGTATAGTATATTGCACCAAACACCATATTTGTGCATTTGTGCTGTGGCACGATTTTGGCCCGGCTACATGTAGCTAGGAGCCCTTGAAGAAGCCACAACAACTGAGCGCGATTCAAGAGGACCTCAGCCGACAGTCAGGCAGCTCAGAGGTTCTTCAAACAAAGCTCTTTGGCAGGGGTCTGGATTATCGTGCATTGACAGACCTCTACTTGATAGTGATGCTGCAGAATGGCCAAGGTTGGGTCTCGCCATTGATCAGGCTGGTTGCTACAGTCTTTTGCAGTGCTCTCCATTCGTCTTCCGCTCTTGTTGCCCAATGTTGCCCACTAGCGCGCTACATTGAGAGCATTCAGCACTTGACTCAATCAGACGGTTCACATTTTACTTTATCACCCCATCTCATCCCTCTTGTACTGGGACCTCCAGGCAGTCGAGGTCCGCTACGGCGAAGATTGGTCAGAGCCTATACTTTATACATCTTTATACAGCTTGAGCTCGTGAGAGCTTTCCTACTCATCTTTTGAGTATTTTGAATCTGCCAAAAACAGTGGGTTTGCTTTTTCAGAATGAGCTCAGGTTTCACGCAACTGTTGTGGGGTTCACCGACCATGGTACCGTGATGGCTGACTACTTCCGCAAAGATGGGAGCCGGCCAGAATTTAAAGGCCGAGCCCAGGGAAGACATGTGACATGGACAATTGCAGAAGCATGTCTACGACAAGGAGAGGGCGGCACGTGTCTTGCAAACTGAAAGCATGGTGCAATATCAGATCAGTTCTGTTTGCAGAACATGCTATCCGTGGCTATCAGTGTATATCGCCATATCACCGTGTCTTGGACAGGTGGCGAGATAGAAGTTGCTGCGGCTGACATCCGCGCTGCTTGTTTAAACAAGACTCAGTACTTGCACTGCCTCTTGCATTCCCTATGTATTGCGTAAGCCAGGAATGTGTGATTTCTTTCCAGACCTGACGCCCTGCGCTTGCACATCTTGAGGCAGCACAGACACCGCGGCCAGGCATGGAGATACATGGTCCCAGCCTCGTCCAGTATGGTCCAGCATTTGTGATTATAACTGCTAGACTCAAGACTTTGTTTGTGGAAGGACATGTCCATGCAGGAAAGCAAAGTGGAATGTGCAGAAATAAGACTGGTCGCACAGCAAGTCCTCATTTTGCCTCACCTCAAATGGCACTTACCATCTCCCCGGCAGTCTCCCCTCCCCTTGTTTGGCCTCCCAGCCTTGTCGCCTGGGTTGTGACCGCTTGGTCAAGCCGGAATCCAACATTTCAGTTTTTCTCAACTCACGGCCTCACAGCCCAAGATTTCAGCCGCTAGCCTTTCCCCAACTCTGGTGACAGCACAATCTGAGGAACACTTCTGCTCATTGGGGACAAGAAGGCCAGAGAATGTGCCAGGCCAGATCTTGAATTGGGCTGAACAATGTTGGAATGTTGGAGTGTTTCCTTGAGCATTTCCAACGAAATCACTCTGAAACCACATTTTTGCACACGAGTTTTGAGCTTTTGAGTTCACTTCAGCATTTCAGCGCATCCGGTCATATTCCAGGCAGCATGCTGCTGCCCAAGCAGAGCGCAAAGCCATAGCAGAAGGTGAGCTTTGAGACTCTGAAAACAACACAATTTGGACTGACTCCAACTTGGAATGGAACTCAGTTCTCTCGCAACTTCCTTGCCAGTAGGTGCTTTTACTTTTCTCCTCTTTCATTGAATTAATCGTCTTCATGTGTTTTAGGTGTGGCAAGCTCTTTGCGGGACAGGAACGAGCAGACTATGACAGAGCAGCTCCTTGGTATGCCAGAGGCAGGACAAGGCTGATAGGGGAGCTTTCAATGCTTGAGTGTGGAAGGTTTTTGCAGCCACATGTGGAAGCGATGAAAAATTGTGTCCAGCTAGGAAGGTGAACACGTTCAAAGTGACTTTCACGTCCCAAAGTCCAGGATATTCCTGAGAAGAATTGATCCAATAGAGCCCCAGCTAGTGGCTTGGTAGACTCTGTTAGACCCTTGGAGCTCCACAGGATGGGGAAGTGCTGGAAGAGGACAGCCAAGACAGCACCAAGTGTTTTCTGATTGCATGTGGTGTGGGCTTCGTTGTAATGCCCTCTCAGGAGAGTGACTGCACTATATGTGTGGTTGAACTACCCGCAGACAGTGCAACAGGAAGTGGGCTGCAGCGCCTGAATCAGGCCAAGCTTCCTTCAAACGCCAGTCACATCTCCTATTCCAAATTCTACACGTTAGGGTTGCCAGAATCTGCGAGGCAGCGCAAGTTACGGATGCGGCGCTGGAGGTGCTACCTGGAGGCAGGGCAGGATGAAGGACTAAAGCGCCTCAAAAATATTAAATGGACTTAGGGTTGTTGAGCGCAGTAGATGAAATGACATGAGGGAAACAAGAGGGGTAGGAGGTCTGAAGCATTCTGGCACTAGCAAAACCATTTCTGGGTTGGCCTTTCGGACATTTTTTATTTTTTGCTTTTTTGGGCTAGTGCTGGGCTTATATGATATAATAAGTTTAAACTATGGACTGACCACCACTGGACTGACTAGACTGGCTCAAACTTACTGTCTGACTCAAACCACCCTTCACCTTCATACCCTCATGGTTCATACTCAAACCACTGTTCATATGATAAGCGTTCTTCCCATTCTGAAATCATTCTGAAGTTAATTATAATATCTCATGGGCTATATTGTCACTGTTTGACTTGGACTGTCATCACTTCCATTCACTTCAGTGTCATACTTCGTCATAGCCTGACTTGCCGATCATGGAAGAGCCGGAAGAGCTTGACAAGTACGACGAGACAGGCGACATTGCCCGGTGTGACTCGAGTCTGACTAGAGCGCTCTAGTATGTAACATGAAAGTGGAATCGGAAGTATTGATATGCGGTAGCAGCCCCATGGTCCCTTGATGGGTTCACCCGCCTGACTTGCCAGGTAGACTGGAGGGAGTTGATCCTTCCAGATTGACTTCAACAACTTCATCCCCATTGTGGTGATTGACAGGCGTGCTTGGTGGGAGGAGGAGGTGGTTGACAGGTTCATGTCATTGACGTCATGAGTGTTCATGTCTGACATGATTTTGTAACTTTTGGCTCAGGTCTGTCAGGCTCAGGACATCGCATGCATTCCATGATATCGGACTGAGTGACTCACTCACATATCGGACTGACTGACTCACTCACATATCGACCGACTGCTTACTTCACAGACTCCCCTTCCCAAAAACACACTGTCCAGTTCGCGGTGCCTGACACGTGGCCTGACACGTGGCCTGACATGGAGGAGGTCTCTGGCATCGATGCGGCTGAGTCTGTGATGTGGACTCGTGAGGACTGGCCAGAAGGACTCATCATTTCCTATGGGACTGACGCCATCTACAGCACAACAGTGGATGGAGACGGTGGCCTGTTGAACATTCAAGTCATCCTTTCAACTCTTTTTTTTGGTGGGCCAGACCAGGTCGGTGAAGATGTGCAGTTTCTTAATTGCCTCACTGAAACGCTCCATTGAGGTTCTCGCGGATTGATGGTGATGCCACAACGGATTGCGCAAGAAGCGTCTGACTGCAGGGCGGTCCTTCTCACACACAACATGGAGGCGATCTGGCCTGACAGCGACAGTGTGGCAGGATTTCTCCAGAATCCCAAGCTGGACGGCTCCTATGGTTCCTTGACTTAACGTGTTTAACAATTTTTAAATAGTGTTTGTGGCATGACTCTTAGGCCATTTTGGCACCGCACCTGACTATGTAGCCTTTGAGCTCCTCTCCCTGACTGCAGGTAGCCGGACGGAACCGGAATGCCTGCTTGACGTCCTGTCTGACCCCTTGGCCCGGAAGCCTGCTTGCGCTGGAGTCCTGTGTGGCTTGACGGCGATTGCATCGGCAGGAATGGGTCGGGCTGGCACCAAGCCTTGGTGGCTGTGCCTGACATGCTCCTTGGCCAACATGTGGCTGGCTGACTGCAACGTTTATGTTTTTTCACCTTAGCCTAATTGACGTAGAGGTTGTTTAAAAATAATTTAATGAGTTCAATGACAAAGACTTGGTTCAATTGTCTATTGAGGCAAGACTGGGAAGGTCGCTTCGCAAACTGTGGCGCTTCTGGTTGGCGGTCTAGTAAAGCAGCCAGTGTGGCTGGTTGACATTCATGGTCCCTGCGGGAAGCACCTTGCAGAGGTCCCAGAACTGTCTTCTAGTGTGAAGCTTGACATGAATCAGCCCTTACATTTTTAATTTTGAACAGGTGTTATTCGTGTTGAGTCATCCATCGCATTGGCTGGGTTTACTAACACTGAGCTGAGGAAGAGGCTGATGCTTGACTGGGTGCCAAAGTTCAACCATGATTTTGTCAACATGATAGTCATGAACGGCATGTGCCCGTCGCCACCACCAGCGCCTCAAGCGCCACCATTTGACGTTGAGGATGAGGTCCCAGAGTTTGACGAGGAGGAGGCGGAAGCGCCTGGGCCCATGTTTCAATAATGAAGATTTTTATTTTTGTCAATCAAAGTTTTTCGTTGCTTGATGGCTCACTCCTTGACTGACTGCTTGACTGTTAAGGTGTCAATGACCATAATGGCTAACACCATCAAAACAGTGGCGCCTGACATCTATGTGGCTTTGCAACAGTTGAAAGTTGATTACTTTGCATGGACTGACCATTTGCAGCATTTGGAACATTTTCTTATTTTAAGTTGTTTTTAATTTAAATGTGTCAATAATTTGATTAGTCATTTACTGATTCTGATTGTCGGTTGGACTTAAGTTCATCTCAGGCCATGTATTCCGTCATGCATTTGGATGATCTCAGCCTGGCTAGCACCCGCGCGGAAGTGCCTGTCATTCTCAGTTTCTTGGCCTGACATGAGGTTGGCCCTCACAAACTTAGTTATTGTTTTAGTCAGACTTATGATGATGCTTTTTAGCCCAATCAGCTACATTGACTGGCATTGTCGCTCAACTCTAAGGAGAGGTGATGGGGAGGAGTGGCGGCAAGGGGACAAAGCAGGTGTGGCAAAACCCCAGCAGAGTCATTGCTAAGTTTTGCCGGGAAAGGTGTGACGAGTATCGCATGCGCTGCTCGGCTTAATTTAATGTTCACTTTTGACATTATTGCTTTGTCTTCACTTCAAATATGTGTGATATGATTGATAAAACCATTAATTATAAAAATCAAGCTGACAAATTGTCAGAGTCAGCGTGCTGCTTAAGGTTGCAAGGAGAAGACTTATGGAGCAGTGCCTGACTACATGACGAGGAATGACCGCAGGGGCTCGGGCTCCAAGCGCCGCAGGCAGCCTCCGCCTGACGGGTCTGACGGGCCTGGCGCTTCTGCAGCAGCAGCTGAACCTGTGCCTCAACAGCAGTCAATGCCGACTGACCCTGAGCCGACGCCGACTGACCCCAGACAACCGCCTAGTGAAGAGTTTTTTTCGAATTGGTGGTTGGTGTCTGATGGCGGCGGGCCCTTGGTGGTGATGCCTGACTTCGGTCGTCGCATCAAAAAGTATCCCAAGGCTCCTTTGCGTGTCACCCCTCCAAAACTGAGAGGAACATTTGTCTTTGAAAGTTAGGCATCCCTGGCATGCCCGGTCTGACCATGTGCTTCACAGCCCACCACCTTTGCCTTCATTGGAGAGTCAGAGTGAGCATGACTGTCGGCAGGAAGCCCCGACCAAGACACAAAGAGTGGCGTTCAAGGTCCCGCCTGACGACGTCTACTCTCCCTCTCCCACAGCAGCTGCGGAAGAACAACAAGACTTACCCTCCTCGGCGTGGGAGGCTTCTGCTTGGGAGAATCAGGGCGATCAAGAAAAGCCTGAGCAGGCTGAGCCGGCTCCGTGCGAGGAGCAGGAGGAGGAGGAGCCTGAGCTGCCAGAAGAGAGGCCTCAAATTGCGTCACCAACATCGCCTGCAGATGGTATGATTCCGGAATCCGAAGAAACGGCGGCTCAGACCAAGCCTGACACTGACATCAAGGACGGAGGAAAGGCTGGCAATGCGGAGGGAGATACCCCAAAGGCCAAGGGCAAGGGGGGGATAGCCCAGACACCAAGGGCAAGGCTGCACCTAAGGGCAAGCATGAGCTTGACTCAAAGGGCAAAAGCAAGGATGACTTCAAGGGCATGAAGGGGCGGGGAAGGAGGATTTCCAGAAGGGGAAGGACGACTTCAAGGGTAAGGCTGCGCCTAAGGGAAAGGGCAAGGAAACGGACTATGAAGAAGACAAGGGAAAGGGCAAGCCTGGTTTTGAGTTTGACTCAAAGGGCAAAGGCAAGGCGATGGATGACTTCCAGAAGGGGAAGGATGGTGGCAAGGAGATGGGGAAGGTTGACTTCCAGAAGGGGAAGGGGAAGGATGACTTTCAGAAGGGGAAGGATGACTTCCAGAAGGGGAAGGGGAAGGATGACTTCCAGAAGGGGAAGGATGACCTCCAGAAGGGGAAGGATGACTTCAAGGGCAAGTCTAAAGCCAAGGGAACGGATGACTTCAAGGGCAAGTCTAAAGCCAAGGGAACGGACCATGAAGAATCAGAAGGCGGCAAGGGGAAGGATGGTGGCAAGGGGAAGGCTTCATGGCATGACGTTGAAGACTTTGAGCCCGGTGAGGAAGACGACGACGATGAATGGGGCGAATGGGGGCAATCTGGCCAGAAGAGTGACTTGAATGACAATGATCATGGCTGTTGTTCATTTCTTATTTATTTAAAGGTGCCAGTCATTGATGTTCATGGCCATGTCTCATTGAGCAGGTTCTTACTACAACCAGGATCATCGTCAGCAGTGGGGCTGGGAGCATTATGGAGATCCTGCCCAGTACCCACGGCGGAGAACTCAGCCTTTTGAGACTTGGCAGAAATAGAGTTCAACAGCCTCTCACATCTCTTTGGGTGACATGTTAGCCCCTAAGCAAAGTTTGATGATGATGACAAGCATTGTCGAAACCTCAGGCGACTGACCATGGAGGCTTCTTTGTACCCCGTGATGGTGGCACTGGTACATGGTCGCAAGGTGCATGGTCCCAAGACAATTGGTC